TGATAAATCGTGGAGCTGGTTGAGAGATGGGGGGTTGGGGGGTTGGCAGGACTTAACCCATCTCTAAGATAAAGCGGTCCCCCCCCCCACGTTTAAGGTCCTAGGCTTCAGACCTTTCTCCCTATAATAGCTGACTTGCAATAAAACTTGGACTGTGTTCGCTCAATAGCAATTTTCCTGTATGTATGCACTTAAATTCATATGCCCCGAGAAGCAAGGTATACCTCAGTGTATATGCTCCGAGAAGCAAGGTATACCTCACAGTGTATATGCTCCGAGAAGCAAGGTATACCTCAGTGTATATGCCCGAGAAGCAAGGTATACCTCACAGTGTATATGCCCCAAGAAGCAAGGTATACCTCTCAGTGTATATGCCCCAAGAAGCAAGGTATACCTCAGTGTATATGCCCAGAGAAGCAAGGTATACCTCAGTGTACATACCCCAAGAAGCAAGGTATACCTCACAGTGTATATGCCCCGAGAAGCAAGGTATACCTCATAGTGTATATGCCCCAAGAAGCAAGGTATACCTCAGTGTATATACCCCAAGAAGCAAGGTATACCTCACAGTGTATATGCCCCGAGAAGCAAGGTATACCTCAATGTATATGCCCCAAGAAGCAATGTATACCTCAGTGTACATTCTCTTGAAGCCAAATATTTTTGGCACTGGACTTAAAGTGTGTCAACTCTGAGTGTCAACAGTGCCATTATCACTTGAGAATGTTAAGTCCAGCCAAAGTTCCGTTCATACTCGAAGCACCAGGACGCCCGTCCTTCTTGACTCACATTCCAGGATCCCGGGTTCGACTCCTAGGCAGGACAGAAATGATTGGCTAAGTTTCCTTCCACCTAATGGCCTAATTAGGCAACTATTTGCTGTTTGGCTTAAGGTCTATCAACCTGTGGAAGGTTATTAAGGTCACCACAAGAGTTTACTGACCAACCAGCAAGTATACTTTAGTCTTGAACATAGACCAGGACTAAAGTATACTCGCAGAAGTGGGTTACATCTCTCGGTATAAATATACCCAGTGCCTGGGTATGCGCCCGTCATACCCAACCACTGTGACCGGCTGTTACATTGTTACGTAGAAATCCGAACACTCAATTTCCACTATAATTAATACCACAAATCCAACTTCGATCATTTCAGTCACAGGAATTGCAATCAATGATGAATTCCTGAGCTCTCGAAATTATTTTACAATAAAAATGGGGAAAGATTGAATATATATATATATATATATATATATATATATATATATATATATATATATATATATATATATATATATATATATATATATATATATATATATATATATATATATATATATATATATATGGCGCCTATTTTTTACAAATTTCTGGATTATATACCAAAAATATGCAAACTAGTATATATCAGGTCAAGCCTCTAAATCGCTGTTGCAACGTGGATCTGACAGCTAAAGCGTTTGGGTAGTGCATTCAGCCAGCGTGGCCAGGTGCGTGACCTGTGCTTCATGCTAACTGCACTCTTCATCATTCTAGCTGTGGTTGTTGCCGTACGCGATCATGCAACCGGCAAGCACTCCCTGTTCGTGTCCAGGGTTTGAAGCCAGGCGCCCAGACTGGCTTTTCTACACAACCAGATTCGCAGCAAGATTACCGTGGCTTCTGTACGACCAACCCCAAGCCTCCACGAACGGCAGTGCTGTTCGTCACTTCATTGCTGCCACACTCGGGCCTACTTTACAACCACTAACGACCAGGCCAGCACCGTAACCACGAACGACCAGGCGAGCACCGTAACCACGAACGACCAGGCGAGCACCGTAACCACGAACGACCAGGCGAGCACCGTAACCACGAACAACCAGGCGAGCACCGTAACCACGAACGACCAGGCCAGCACCGTAACCACGAACGACCAGGCGAGCACCGTAACCACGAACGACCAGGCCAGCACCGTAACCACGAACGACCAGGCCAACACCGTAACCACGAACGACCAGACCAGCACCGTAACCACGAACGACCAGGCCAGCACCGTAACCACGAACGACCAGGCCAGCACCATAACCACGAACGACCAGACCAGCACCGTAACCACGAACCACCAGGCCAGCACCGTAACCACGAACCACCAGGCCAGCACCGTAACCACGAACCACCAGACCAACACCGTAACCACGAACGACCAGGCCAGCACCGTAACCACGAACCACCAGGCCAACACTGTAACCACGAACGACCAGGCCAGCACCGTAAACACGGACCACCAGACCAGCACCGTAACCACGAACGACCAGGCCAACATTATGAGCAGGAAGGAGTCACTAGAACTACCCCACCACCAGACTCAGGTCACAGCTCGGACACATCTATAACCAACACAATACTCGTCAATCATCTTACGGGATCACCATAGCCCGTGCTACATGGACATTTCGTTCTGAGTAGCTAAATCTAAATCAACAGCATCATCAATCATCTCTAGGCTCCGATACTTACTCATCATCTACGAGGAAAATTACGAAATTGGTTTTCGGTGATAATTTTGTATAAGCCTATAAGACTATATAAGACTATATAAGACTTCTTCTTGAGGTTATCTTGAGATGATTTCGGGGCTTTAGTGTCCCCGCGGCCCGGTCCTCGACCAGGCCTCCACCCCCAGGAAGCAGCCCGTGACAGCTGACTAACACCCAGGTACCTATTTTACTGCTAGGTAACAGGGACATAGGGTGAAAGAAACGCTGCCCATTGTTTCTCGCCGGCGCCTGGGATCGAACCCAGGACCACAGGGTTGAACATAGCTATATATATATATAAGACTATATATAAATATACTTTGCCACTCTTATTTCTACAGCAGGACACGAGGTAACAGCTCTTGTTAAAGAGAAGCTGTGCATCGTAGCATCTGGGAGTACTGTGACACAGTCATGGTAGCATCTGGGAGTACTGTGACACTCATGGTAGCATCTGGGAGTACTGTGACACTCATGGTAGCATCTGGGAGTACTGTGACACTCATGGTAGCATCTGGGAGTACTGTGACACTCATGGTAGCATCTGGGAGTACTGTGACACTCATGGTAGCATCTGGGAGTACTGTGACACAGTCATGGTAGCATCTGGGAGTACTGTGACACTCATAGTAACATCTGGGAGTACTGTGACACTCATGGTAACATCTGGGAGTACTGTGACACTCATGGTAACATCTGGGAGTACTGTGACACTCATAGTAACATCTGGGAGTACTGTGACACTCATGGTAGCATCTGGGAGTACTGTGACACTCATGGTAGCATCTGGGAGTACTGTGACACAGTCATGGTAGCATCTGGGAGTACTGTGACACTCATGGTAGCATCTGGGAGTACTGTGACACTCATGGTAGCATCTGGGAGTACTGTGACACTCATGGTAGCATCTGGGAGTACTGTGACACAGTCATGGTAGCATCTGGGAGTACTGTGACACTCATAGTAACATCTGGGAGTACTGTGACACTCATGGTAACATCTGGGAGTACTGTGACACTCATAGTAACATCTGGGAGTACTGTGACACTCATGGTAACATCTGGGAGTACTGTGACACTCATGGTAACATCTGGGAGTACTGTGACACTCATAGTAACATCTGGGAGTACTGTGACACTCATGGTAACATCTGGGAGTACTGTGACACAGTCATAGTAACATCTGGGAGTACTGTGACACTCATGGTAACATCTGGGAGTACTGTGACACTCATAGTAACATCTGGGAGTACTGTGACACTCATAGTAACATCTGGGAGTACTGTGACACTCATAGTAACATCTGGGAGTACTGTGACACTCATGGTAACATCTGGGAGTACTGTGACACTCATAGTAACATCTGGGAGTACTGTGAAACTATTGCCTTGACTGGAATAGTAAAGTTTAACCTGTCAGAGGTAAAAATTTCACACCAGCTTGTTCGCCCGGTCAAGAGGCCGCTGAAACTATCTTCCTCACCACTATAACATTGTGTCCTATCTTGAGATGAAATGATTTCGGGGCTTAGCGTCCCCGCGGCCCGGTCCTCGACCAGGCCTGCCACCAGTTACGTGCAGTTTAGCGCACAAACTATCGGTAAACTGTTTGGTTTACAATTAACTACTACAGTAATGGCTGCTGGGTAATTAGGGGGGGGGTAAATAGTTAACTATCGGTGAGCTAATTGTCCTCTCCGGGTGCAGGGGGGGGGGCGGAACCAGCCACACACACACACACTCGTTAATGAGGTGTGAGCTGGGCACCAATGTGGCACCACATACCTGGCACCACACACCTGGCACCAGTGTGGCACCACACACCTGGCACCAGTGTGGCAGCACACACCTGGCACCAGTGTGGCACCACACACCTGGCACCAGTGTGGCACCACACACCTGGCACCAGTGTGGCACCACACACCTGGCACCAGTGTGGCACCACACACCTGGCACCAGTGTGGCACCACACACCTGGCACCAGTGTGGCACCACACACCTGGCACCAGTGTGGCACCACACACCTGGCACCAGTGTGGCACCACACACCTGGCACCAGTGTGGCACCACACACCTGGCACCAGTGTGGCACCACACACCTGGCACCAGTGTGGCACCACACACCTGGTACCAGTGTGGCACCACACACCTGGTGCCGCCGTCGACACAACCAAGCCTATTACCCTAACAAGCCATTGACCATCAAAAGGACTAATCGAGCAAAAGCGACGTTGGTGATGCATCTAGTATAGTACGCCGGTACTTCCCCTTTCTAGTTACGGTGATTACAGTCTCAGAAGATGGTCACTATCCCTCCCTCCCTCCTCCAGGCGGCGACAGTAACAGCCGCCCCGTGCTCCAGTCACTTTCCTGGCGACACTTACCTGTGGGAGTGCCAGTTGCCCCCGGCGGCACTCCCACAGGAGGCCCGGACCAGCAAGACACACATACACTAACAGAGATAAGAGAGAGAAAGTACTTACGGGTGACCGTCGTCCTGGCGACAAGATGGATGACAGGAGCAGCAGCAGGTGGGTGAAGTGTCCCCGTGTGGTGGTGGTTGTGGTAGTGGGGGGTTGTGGTGGTGGTACCGCAATTGGTAGCGAGTCACAGAGCGGGACACACCGTAGCGGCAGCAGCGGACCTCTTCACCAGACCGACGCCCGTGCAGGAGTCGTCAGCTCCCGCCTGACCCCGCTTATATACCCCCGCCCCATACACCCCCCCCTACAAGCCCCCCACTCCACAACCCCCTCCAATCACCCTCCCCCCCCTATACCAGGCCCCGCCCACTCCCCCCCACACTGGTCCACCTACGCCATCACCTTGTCTGACATATTAAGTGATTCTAGGTGAGATATTGGTGCTTTTTACCCGCTGACGAGCGCTGACACGAGCCAGTAGCGAACGAGGAGCAGCAGGGCAGACTACCCCCACGTGACCATACTCTTAACGACCCATTTACGCTACACAACTCACTCTCCCTCCAAGATGAATAACAAACACCCAGTTCATTAATAACACGATTAATTGAAGAAGGCATTTGAAGGGAGGATATGGAAGAGCGGAGATCTGGGAGGATTTGGAGGAGGAGGGGGGAGGGGGGGGGGTTGGGGCAGGGGGGAGGAGCCACGTGACGTCATGGTGACGTCAGACCAGCCCCCATGGTCATCAGCCAGTAAAAAGCCACAAAAAAGAGTGAAGTGTTCTGGTGGCACCTGTGGTGTGTGCGCTGCTGGAATGTGCACAGTCTGCCTCTCTCAACATTTTAATATATTCTTATTTTGTGTAGCAAATGGTGGAACGATCCATAATGGCCGCTGAAGGGGAGAGGAACGACTGACAGAGTCTTATCCCAGTGATTGGTGCTGCGACGGGTGGGGGTGGGGGGGTGGGGGGTGGTCCTCTGCTGGTACTGGACGGTAGTACTGGACGGTAGGTCTGGCAGTACTGGACGGTAGGTCTGGCAGTACTGGACGGTAGGTCTGGCAGTACTGGACGGTAGGTCTGGCAGTACTGGACGGTAGGTCTGGCAGTACTGGACGGTAGGTCTGGCAGTACTGGACGGTGGCTGCATGGCAATGGACGAAGACATAAAAATCCTCGCTTGTACCCACGCCAACCACCTCTTTCCAGCGCCTATGGCAACCACCATCTTCATCAACTTCCCTAAGATTGTGGTAGAGACCGCCACCAGCCTCCCCCACCCCCCTAACACACATACAAGGCATAATAATGCCATCCCTGGCACTTTCCTGCCCCTAAATCATGGTAGTTTTGGGCATCAGTCACCCTGATTGCTCTACAATAAGGTGGTCCTGGGCATCCCTAGTACTCTCATGTCTATCATAAGGCGGGGCCCCAAAAAGATAACTTTATCTTCGAGATTATTACACATGTATTGAGAGACTGAGGTATATGCCACCTTCCCTGAGCAATGTGCTAACGCCAGGAGGCCCGGTCTCTGATTGACCCCCCGGCTGCAAAATTTGTTCTCGTGTGCAGTAGTGAAGAACAGTGTTTGTTCTCGTCCTCAGTTAATTAACAATTATTCGTCGGGTTCGTCACATGCGACCAACATGGCTCCTGTGAAAGATGTAACACAAACAGCAGAAATTAATTTATTTTCTGGTTTTGAGGAGCAATATTGACCAATTTACAGACGGTCAATAAGTAGGGCGAGGGAATGAAGCCAAAATGGTCAACATTTGATGTTTCTGATGAGTGGTTAACGTGGAGATTGACAGGTTAATGCCGACCAGTGTGTGGGGCGCTGAGGATCTTCTTGAGGTTATCTTGAGATGATTTCGGGGCTTTAGTGTCCCCGCGGCCCGGTCCTCGACCAGGTCTCCACCCCCAGGAAGCAGCCCGTGACAGCTGACTAACACCCAGGTACCTATTTTACTGCTAGGTAACAGGGGCATAGGGTGAAAGAAACTCTGCCCATTGTTTATCGCCGGCGCCCGGGATAGAACCCGGGACCACAGGATCACAAGTCCAGCGTGCTGTCCGCTCGGCCGACCGGCTCCCTCACCAGGATGTTGGCAGATGTCAGGTGGTCAATGGTGTAATTGACAGAAATATCTGGTAGTCACGATTTATCAGGAAACGTAAGCCAAAAAATTGCATGTAAATCTTGTTGAAATCAAATATTATGATACTAGGATTCATATCTAGAAGAATTGGTAGACAATATAACAATTATTGCTCTTAACGACACCTATTTTTTTTTTGCAGGGATATTCCTGGGCGGGCCCTAAGCCTCTGGCTGGCCCACTGGGCGGGCCCTAAGCCTCTGGCTGGCCCACTGGGCGGGCCCTAAGCCTCTGGCTGGCTCACTGGGCGGGCCCTAAGCCTCTGGCTGGCTCACTTAGATTACACTGCTGAGTTTGGGTCACTTTACGTCCAATCACTTGCGGTGGACGGTAGAGCGACGGTCTTGCTTCATGCAGGTCAGCGTTTAATCCCAGATCATCCAAGTGGTTGGGCACCATTCCTTCCCCCGTCCCATCCCAAATCCTTATCCTGACCCCTTCCCAGTGCTATATAGTCGTAATGGCTTGGCACTTTTTCCTGATAATTCCGTCCGTTTACTAAGAATTAATTTAACTTTACTGAATTACTAAGAATTTACTAAAACCACAAAGACATAAGAATTTGAGGACAGTGTTGAATACCACTTGGCACATACGAGGCACCTCCTATATATATATATATCCAGGCACATACGAGGCACCTCCTATATATATATATATCCAGGCACATACGAGGCACCTCCTATATATATATATATCCAGGCACATACGAGGCACCTCCTATATATATATATATCCAGGCACATACGAGGCACCTCCTATATATATATATCCAGGCACACACGAGGCACCTAATATATATATATATATCCAGGCACACACGAGGCACCTCCTATATATATATATATCCAGGCACATACGAGGCACCTCCTATATATATATATCCAGGCACACACGAGGCACCTCCTATATATATATATATCCAGGCACACACGAGGCACCTCCTATATATATATATATCCAGGCACATACAAGGCACCTCCTACATATATATCCAGGCACATACGAGGCACCTCCTATATATATATCCAGGCACATACGAGGCACCTCCTATATATATATCCAGGCACATACAAGGCACCTCCTATATATATATCCAGGCACATACGAGGCACCTCCTATATATATATCCAGGCACATACAAGGCACCTCCTATATATATATCCAGGCACATACGAGGCACCTCCTATATATATATCCAGGCACATACGAGGCACCTCCTATATATATATCCAGGCACATACAAGGCACCTCCTATATATATATATCCAGGCACACACGAGGCACCTCCTATATATATATCCAGGCACATACGAGGCACCTCCTACATATATATCCAGGCACATACGAGGCACCTCCTATATATATATATATCCAGGCACATACGAGGCACCTCCTATATATATATATATCCAGGCACATACGAGGCACCTCCTACATATATATCCAGGCACATACGAGGCACCTCCTATATATATATATATCCAGGCACATACGAGGCACCTCCTATATATATATCCAGGCACATACGAGGCACCTCCTATATATATATCCAGGCACATACGAGGCACCTCCTACATATATATCCAGGCACATACGAGGCACCTCCTATATATATATCCAGGCACATACGAGGCACCTCCTATATATATATCCAGGCACATACAAGGCACCTCCTATATATATATCCAGGCACATACGAGGCACCTCCTATATATATATCCAGGCACATACGAGGCACCTCCTACATATATATCCAGGCACATACGAGGCACCTCCTATATATATATCCAGGCACATACGAGGCACCTCCTACATATATATCCAGGCACATACGAGGCACCTCCTATATATATATCCAGGCACATACGAGGCACCTCCTACATATATATCCAGGCACATACGAGGCACCTCCTATATATATCCACTCAAACCCATTAATATACATGCCTAATCTACGCTTGAAATAATTGGCAACCCGCCATCTATTATATTTCCCAGTAATTGGTACAATAAATCAACAACCCACATTTCTAAATGAGTATTTACCCAAATCTTTCCTGAATCTTAACCAGTATTTACCCAGGTCTTTCCTACATCTTAACTTCTACAAACTTATATAAATTGTTTTGTTCTCGATTTTGTGATGACATTTCGAGACATTACTATCACCTTGGAGCCGGTCGGCCGAGCGAACAGCACGCTGGACTTGTGATCCTGTGGTCCTGGGTTCGATCCCAGGCGCCGGCGAGAAACAATGGGCAGAGTTTCTTTCACCCTATGCCCCTGTTACCTAGCAGTAAAATAGGTACCTGGGTGTTAGTCAGCTGTCACGGGCTGCTTCCTGGGGGTGGAGGTCTGGTCGAGGATCGGGCCGCGGGGACACTAAAAAGCCCCGAAATCATCTCAAGATAACCTCAAGATAACCTTCATAACCACTCAAACTGGACATTTATAATCAGAATATGTATATGCAGCAATGCTCAAGGTAAGTGGGCATGGGAGTATGGCAGACATGGGAGTGTGACAGACATGGGAGTATGGCAGACATGGGAGTGTGACAGGCGTGGTAGAATTGCCAGGCATGGTAGGCCTGTCATGGTAGAATGACAGGCCTACCACCATCACTACAGTAACGTGTACTGTAACCCAAACGTTGAGAGACATCATCTGCAGCCACTAACAAGCCACAACTAACTACACATAATTACTCCATTACGCCCCCAACGACCCTATAGCAGCCTAGCGGGATCCTTGCACTGATCTTCAAGACGCCTGGGCCTCCGGGAGGCGCCGACGGAGGCGTGTGTGTGTGTGTTAACCAAGTCAACAATGAAGGAGATGGTGTTTGTCCCTAGGTGAGGCCAGGACGTGACGACGTGGCCCCGTGTGGCCCCGTGTGGCTCACCGGGGCCCCTCATCCTGCAACCTGTCTGGCCAGCCATGGCCACTTGACGTCACCTGGTCCTGGGTGACGTCCCCTGGTCCTGGGTGACGTCCCCTGGTCCTGGGTGACGTTTCCTGGTCCTGGGTGACGTCTCCTGGTTCTGTCTGACGGGTCCTGGTCCTGGGTGACGTCTCC